TCAAGCCTCACTCGATCCGTGACATTTTTTGACTATCTTTCCTTACTGACTGCTATCATTTGCTCACTAGTAACTATCTTCGACAAGAAATTTCAAGCGTTCTAGTAGGAAGCTTTGACTACTGAGGCTAAACTAAAGATAATAAAAGGTCGCACAGTTTCATCGACTGGTTGAATTTCGACATTAACATAGTTGGCCTGGCGGTAAAGCATTCGTGAGCAAGAACAAATGTCTTTGGTACTGATTCCCGAGCGTTGCGTAGTGGAGGTACACTTCTAAAGAGTCCCATGCTAGGACGAAACGGCTGTCCAATGTTTCCGGTTATTCACTGGTGGTCTAATTTAGAATGTTTTATCTTTTCAATGACTCAAAAGACTATTCGCTAGTTCATCTTTCCTACCATTGTAAACGTCAAAATATGGTTAAACAACAATGTCTTTTGTCTGTTTTAGACATGAAAGTCCATTAGACAATATTTAACAATACATTGTTGAGAGTATTTCTGTGTGGGGAATTTGATAGGTACCATCATTGCCTCGTTTGGAAGTCCAGTTAAATAACTTTGAAGAAAATATCCACCAAAGAATTTCTATTCTGGCAATTTATATGTTATTATGTAGTTTCACTTAAAGTACTCTCGACAAACCAAGCTACTGGACACCTTATTAGGACTTTGAGGAAACAATAACCGTCAGTCATAAATTTACAACGCATACTTTTAAAGAAGCTCTAAATTCCGATATGACGTAAATAAAGTGTAATCTTATTACAAGCAACCATATCCCTAAATATTTTGTAACATTTAAGAATGTCTGCTAGTTTAACAGCTAACTTTTAAAATACTTTGTGAATGAATCTCTTTTCGATTACAGTTGAAAACCGTCTAGTAAAAGATAAATATACAGTTTTTTCTGGTTTTACTAAAACCTGCTGGGGTAGTGAGGATAGTAGAATTTTTATGCTATTTAAACAGTTGATAAATATGGAGTAATAAATTATCAAATATCACAAATAGTAGCACTACTGAAGATCTAAATTAACTTAGAATCGCAGAGAAATGCAACCGCCTTATGATGATTGTTAGGTACATTTTACATGGTAGTGAACTGTGATATAATGCGGTTTTAGATTTTCCCGGAAACTTGAAAGTTATCTACTGAAATTAGATTTTAAAAGTTTTGAACAAAGAAAATACCGTCCTTATAGGCAAACGTTATGTGTTTGGCAAATGCATATAAATGTAGTTAACTTTTCATTCTGATAGTAATTCTAATTCACGGTTCATATGGACATAAGAAGAGACACTTTGTGTAATTGTCAAGTTATATTTTACTGCTAAAAGAAAATTCAGAGCTATTGATTAGTACATATATTATTTACATAATTAATTCTATAACTAGTTATGTTACTTGTCGTTGATGACTTAGTTCAACGAAATTTGTACAGTATTTTCATTTGAATCCAGTTGTAGTTGTAGTTTAGCCGACAGAACTGAAGGTCATCAGCCTAAACGTCATTGGTTGATATTCCCCAATATTCTAAATTTTCTTTGAAGTTTAGTCATCACTAGTGGATACAAAGTTTATCCTAATAATCAAAGCTTCATCTGCAAATTGAATTCATAAACAATGTGTACAACTTGTCAAAAAAACTTTTATTGATAAACAAGAAAATGAACAGACAGTAAAGGTACAACTTCATGAATTCAAAATTAGCTATTATGCAATCAAGAAGAGCACCTAACGGATAGCCATATATTAGAAAATAACTTAATAAACTTCCAGAAAAACAAAGACAAAACAGACTTATAGTGTACAAATAACATACAAATAATGTTCAACAATTGAAAGGGAAGTCAATCATCCAAATTTACTTTTGATAATAAATAAGAACAAGATATCACAGAAGAAACCAATTCAATTAAGGTATAGATGAAAATGATAAAAATTTATAGTTAGTTGTTAATCACTCATCTAGGCCAGACCATGTCATTTCAGAATAGCTTTTTGATTTAACTGTAACACTGGAATAAACCTTACAATGACTCCAACACAAAACATTATAATATCAAGTAAGGCAGTTGTTATTTAAAATTTGTGACTTGTAACGCAGATTAATTTCCATTAATTTGATGAGGAAATAGTATTTGCCGCAGAGATAATACAAGAAGCAATAATTCCTACTGTACTGCAATGTCTCAGTAAGATGTGGGTTTTCGACAGGCATTAGATACGCGAAATTCATAAAGACAAGCTTTCTACCAGGTATCAAATATCCCTACACTAATAATCTTACATAAGTTAATATTGGTAACGAACAGAAAAATATTGTCTGTATGTGTATGAACGTATTATCAACTAACTAAATTGATATAACTTATGAGTAAGTGACTATCATAAAAATCGATTTGCTGACGCTCCACGCTCGAATGATCGAAAGACAAAACAGCTATATCTAACACAAGTTAATCTCTCAATCATAATAACTCAAGATGAAATGAATCTATGGAACAGATAGATAAACACTAGTTGAAGCCAATATAAGCTATGAACCAATGAAATCAAAGCCTACTACTTATAAGTTATAATCTTAGCATGTCGAAAGTTGAATTTCATAAGTTAATTAATCGGGAGAGAAAGATAAAAGAGAACAATTAATACATGTTTTTGATAAGTTAAAAAATGGAGTTTGAGCAATTTTATAGAAAGATATTGATAATAAAAAAAAACAGATAAGTAGAGTATAGATTTGTGAAATCGATATCACGATATATTTCAACAAAAAAAAGCAAAACCATATAAATATTAATTTTCAAAGATATATCACTGAACAACAATGAGATGATAGTTCAGTTAGTTGCATTAGGAAAAAAATTACGATTGGTTATATGCACCTAATTAAAGAAAAAATAAACAAATCATTTAAAACCATTATTTCTTTGCACTTTTTCATTGTAAATTCAGTAACATTTGAGTTTGTAGTAATATGATGTTTCAGTATACAGTTATAACAACTAGAAGTGATTCCAATCAACATTGCATTGCTTAGTGTTCCCGTAACCTTGATACATGAACATTATCACACAGTAAAGAAATAATTTCATGATATTTTTATCGTTTGCGTATAAATATGAAGTTTTCTAGAAAAAATGTATACATTTAAAACTTCATCAACAAACACTAATTTGAAGTACTTTTAAGACCAGTCGTAGTTAACCCGTATACACATCAATAACTTTACCAATCATTACAGAACATGAATGTGTCATCTAATGGAATTTTGTAAAATTGATCTATAAAACAGAATCAGTAATGCAGTTGTGATAGTTCACAAAGTATTTCTTTAAAGTATTCAATTTGTTCAAGATTCAATAAACTGAGTTTATAACAAAGGAATGCCAAAAAGCATAAAATCTAAAAAGTCAGCTAATATCACAACAATTAAACAAAATAAATGTTTTGTATTTATTTATATAAGGGCATAAACTAAATTACAAAGTACAACTTTTAAATAAAGTACACATGGAGAATGATAGAAGTGTTTTTTTTATTTTGTGGAATGTACAAACTAGATTATTAAAATTCAAAATCTGTAAGAGATTGTATAACATGCTGATATTTAGCAAAACCACAAATTATCAGACATTTAAACATTTATTCAACCTATAATTTAATGTCAAAGCAAATTATCTTATTGGAACGAATTTAAAACACATTAGTAATAATGAAATCATAGCTTCCTATTGACATGTCTATCAAGAAGGGGAATGGGGGAAGATTTGACGAATAGACAATGTCGTCTACCGAATGTTGATACAACTGCAGAACACTTTTCGCTTCTTCAATACTATATATAGGTTATAATATAGTTTGATTACGAAGTATGAAATTTAAAATATAAAAGTTAACAAAACATTACTTTCAATTTGATCGATGAACTTCGTATGTTCAGTCGATTTTCACATTTTCATTTCAATCAGAACGATTCGTCAGAAAAGTCACCTTCAACGTGTTTAATGTAACAAGTGTAACAGTGATACGCTCAGCTTTAATTGTATCTTATCATTGAAGATAAATCTGTCACTGTTTGTCTTTATCATAAGTTTAGAATTAAGTTTAAAAAGTGCTAATTATACATCTCAACCGTCAGAACAATAAACAATGTTAAACAATGATTAAAATCTTGAAAAAAAATATTCAGAGAACTTGCCTATATAACTTAAGATTGAGTTTTGCATATACAAAATATTTTATGTCTAATTCGGTCTCTTATATGAGCTACGCTAACGAAATCGACAAAAAAAATAGTAACTAGGTACTAGATCACAATTTCGGTGATGCGAGAAAATCTTACTTAGTTTACGTTATATGTTATGTTATGTTATGATTGTTCTACATTTTTGTCCAAAGTCGTTTTCAACTGTTGATGATCAAAAACTAACTGACATGGTTTGTTTATTATCTAACAATTTCACGATATTATTCTATAATTTGCTTCAGAAAGACAATTCCTTTATATTCCAGATGAACGTTATGATTGTGAGGAAGAATACTGCCCACTATCATTGAAACACAATACATGCTTAACAGGAATTTCATAAACTTGTGAAAATATTTATCGTTGGATTTTGTCGAATTAGCTGGACGGCAAATAATCAATTAATCTGCGATAAGGTTCAACAAACACTTGCAAAGACGAATACACTAAGTAGATAAGCATCTAGTCAGTTAGATTTGTCAAATAACTAACACTAATTCGCGCTATAAACAACTATTGATTTGCATCCATTTGTTATTCAAAGAAAAAAAACACTTGGTTAAACTGAATAACTAATGTGATATTAATGTTTTTTAAATAAAGAGCAATAAAAGTAACAACACAAGTTTCAAGGCATAAAGAAAAAAACACATTTGACATATTTTAATATTAGTCAAGTTTGAAATCATAAGATAATCATAAATAATTCCATAGCAAGAATTAATATTTCATAGAGACTGAGAATACTCACTCAAATGAATTATAAATTTGTAACCTGTAGAATAAAAATAAAAAGAATTGAATAAGTTGTTTAATTTTTTATTGGTGTTACCTAACTAATGCTTTTTGTATGTTCATACAAAACATGGGTACATTCACACAGACAAACACAGGAAACACATTTATGACATTCATTATCATCACAACACTGATTTCAATACTTTTTGGTATTATTCTCCCTATGGTCTTCATGAGTGATACGAACTACATGCGTTGTTCTTGGAGATTTAGAACGATTTTCTGGATTATAACAATTGATTTTTAAGACCAAATCATCTCCATCCATTTTGATACTCTTGGTGTTTGAACCGTCGTGAATATAACCATCATCATCATCATTGTAATGGACAATACGATTCGTTGTATGAGGTGTTCCTGCTGAGGCTGTGCTAACATATTTAGGGACGATTGGTGAATGCGAAACATAACCAGGAGATCTGTAGTTATTTCGACTTTCATATCTTGGAATGTATTCATCACGGCGTTCATAAGTATAATCATATGGTTGGGCTAGTTGTGGTTGTGATTTGGATAATTGTTTTGTATACGAAAAAGGCCCATCAAATTGATTTCCTTTCTCTTCATGTCCTGGATAACGAGGTGTATAAACTGGCTTAGAATGATAAACTTCTGGTGTTCTAGATTGAAGTGGAATTGGACTTAAAGACCTGTTTCTAAACTTCATATTTGATGGATCATTTTGATTAGCAGCTGGATAAATAGTTGGTGAATATCCATAGGCTTCCAAGTCCGTATCATTAAAATTGAATACTCCTGGTGAACTACTCTTAGTAGGATGAGGAAAATCTTCAAATGAAAGTGGTTTCATAGGTGGTTTGATGGCAGGTTTTCTAGAAAATCTACCAGACGATCGCTTTTTTTGCGGTGTTACACCAACAGGAGCAACATTTATATCTTTTGGATTTAAAGTTTGATCTACATACGATGTAGATGACTTTTGTGCACTTGCTTGGCTTAAATAATAAGAAGCTTGTTGTTGTTGAATAGCTCTTTGTTGAGCCATAATTTGTTGATATTGTTGAGCATTTTTATTCATAGTTACTATCAATTCATCTCTCTCTTTTCTGTTGACCGCTGAAAATACATGTATAAAATGTTTTCCAGGATTCGGTGACTTAATATCCAAAGCAAATTTCCTCTCATCTGATCTTGATTCAATTATATCACATAACTGTTCATATGTAATGCATAATTCTGATGTACCAGGCCACCATAATGGTTTATCTAAAAACATTTCTTTCTCTGTCAGCATTAACAATAAACTTCTGTCTATATTGACAAATTTCACTATTCCATGTTTAACCGATACAGGAGAATCTAACTGTTGTGAAGTAAATGTTTGATTGGCATCAATTTCCACACAGTATTCAATGAAAACTTTAAAACTAGAATATTGTGTTTTTGACTGATTCAAATCGACAAGTGTTGGTGATGTTGTTGCTGAAGCCGGTGAAGTTCCAGGCTTTGGTGTTGTTGTTTTTCTTCTGAGTACCATTATAATGAAATGTTACCCTTGACTGTTGATGTTTGCTAGAGAGAAATTGTAATCACTAATTTGCCGACAATAATGAAAGTAACGAAGGAAGATTAAAGAAACAGTTTTCTTAGTAATATTATAACTGATTATATTTCAATAATGAATTTTAATTGGATAAAAATAATAATTCTAATAACAATGACGATAATCGTGTACACATTGTGTGCATTTTCTACTCATTTGTGAACTCATTTTCTTGAGGATAAGGTGAATTATACATTATAACATTCAGTAATGATTAAATAAAATAAAGAAATTTATTTATAAAGTACTAAACATTTTCACATGATTCTATTTTGTGTTTAATGATATCATATTCATTATTCATATCACAATTGGTTTGCTCATCTTGTTTAAATACTTACAATAAATTGATGTGGCGAATTGGTCATTATTAGTTAAAAAGTGTTGTGCTTCAGTCCTCAATACAAATATACACAACTAGCAGTCACAGAATAGTGATGGTTTTCGATCTAGGTACTAAATTGAGTAAGTTCAGATAACAATATTGAAAGAAATTAAAATAAGTAATGGTACTGAATATAAGTAATTATGTTATAATTCTCAATTCTATCCAAAAATATTCTAGTAGTTACGAATATACTGTTAACACACATGTACATATTGCGGTATGCTGATGAAAAGCTTAATTATTTACAAAGTATTCATAATTTTGTACAGACACCGCATAACAGACGTGTTCCAAATTGCAGATAGATACTCCTGATGGATTCTGTCAGCCATACAGTCTGCTGCCTCAAGATTCACCGTAGATAATCTCTTACCTATTATTACCAAAAGTGATGTAACGTTTTTTCACTGGATAGTGTCACACTGCTTGATCCCTAACTTCCACCAAATGTTCACTGAACATACAAATGCATATCATTGGTGTTCAGTATCAAGATATGAGTAACTCGAAGCTTTAGTCAGCTCTTGATTGCCTTTGAGAAAGGACAATGAGCTTTTTTAAGCTTTGGGTGTTCGTAACTTCCTCATTATGTATATTGTCTGAAAATGACAAGTTTAATTTCTTAAGAGACATTCAGTCAGATAATTTGTGATTTCTTCTGAAAATGTTCAATTTCAAAAATCGATTCAAATAGTAAATTTTTAGCTTAAACCCCTTCATTTATTTGAGTAATTTTGTCTAGACACTTGTATCATCAGCTTTATAAATGTTAATAAATGGCAAATAGTCACTGGCATTTCAGTACCGGTAGAAATATTTGTGTCTTGGAACGTTGTCAAATAACAAACATTCTTTACAGTTGGATAACAATGGTCTTTCCATTCGACAATCATATTGTAAAGTTTCCTTGTAAATTAGATTCTTGAATGCTCTACAATCATACTTAAAATATATCGTTTTAAAATACTTCATAAAGTAAACACTTCCATCATTACGAATTCGTATATGTCAAAAGTTACAATACCCTTTAAACAAGCAATATTTTAATAGTGTTGTTAAACTCTTAACACATACATAAAGGCAATGCATCATTATCATTGATAGATTCCAGTTAAAGCTCAACTACCTCTTGATCACTCGATCCAAAGAACTATAACTCGACTCCTTTTTCAAATCTTTGACGTACTTCCTAAGTAACGTTTGGTTGGTGCTATTTATTTAATCTGATTCACTTAAGTTCAAACAACAAAAGCATGGAACAAAAGAAATGTGAAAAATGAGGAAGTAATTTAGTGATTTTCAAAAATTTTTAACTGTGGTACCTAAGTTTTTTATATCTTATATTAGCTTTTTAGCAGACATATTACACTCGGTTGAAAGAAAATCAATGTTTGTGTTTCACCATTTCAGCAAAGTGACTGAGCCGTCACAACAACTCGTAGCATAATCATTATGTAGATAATACTATCCCTCAATAAGTAGTATTAAGGAATGTTTAAGCAACTGATTAGAACTATATTACTCCCAATACTAAGTATTGTAATGTAACATATCCTTTACCTCAAGCATTTTGTATTAGTTCCTTAAAAACTCATTTACAGGAAAAAGGAATTGTCTATGAATTCAGTTTGTAAAAATTCTTCACTAATAAATTTCTGTCAACGTAATATTGAATACAGTATTCATAAGTTCATTTTAACTAGAAAAACACTGCACAAGATCAAACAAAACGTAATTAGTAATAATATTTCAACAGTTTCATATTTGTTGGCATTGTCTCGCAGTAATAGCATAACCTTTTAATTCTGCCTTCCACTTAAATAATTATTGTTCACCAAATCGCCGAAAAATCTTACGAAAAACTTCCGTCTACTTATTGTACTAAAATGTATCATGGAAGTTAGTGATACACCATAGAATGTTAACTACTCTTTACTAATTCACTAATTAACCTGTTCTCTCTGCGCATATATCACAACTCACATATCATACTTTCTACTTCCTTATCATCTTTCCTATTTTAATTAATTCGTCCTTGAACCAACTCTAGTAAAATCAAAAACTGCTTGTTTTTTGGATCATACAGTTAACAAGAAGTATTCTCATAAGAGTTTTGTATGAAGACAGTTGATTCTAAGAAGTCATTGGATCTCCATGAAGTTAGCTGTCTGGTAAATTAAAAGCTGTGTTACATTTAAAACATGTAACTATTATCAAAACTTACATTTATCAATTATTAGACATAACTGATATGGATATAATCAGTTTCTCGTATCATACTGAATTCATCATACAGAGCTCATAGAGATTAAACACTAAGCTCAAATGAGAAATCAACAGGAATGTGGAATTCTAAAATGTGGTGTAAGAGATATAATAAATAACTCTAAGGAAAAAAGGATAATACCCATTTTCTTCCAGAATGATTGGTTTAAATTAATTACAGCTTATAAACTATCTTTATGCCTAATCTAATCGACTTAGTTAGGTGTTGGGCGTATATGTATCACGTTAATATTTTAAATCACTATTTCCTATAGAATTTTATTTATACTGGATTAGAATTTTACGACAGTTGCATCTCAGTCAGTCAGCCAGTCAGTTACAACGTAAAACCTCGTACGTACGTACATCAGTTCAGGTTGGTATACCGCATTAGCACAGAGACGCAACTATCAGATCAAATCCAATAGTGGTAGCAATAGTAGAAGTATTAGCAGTAGTGGATAAATTAAGGTTTCAAGATGTGATTCGAGAAGTATAATTTAGTGAAATAAATTTAGAAGGAGAAAGATAGGAATGATCAGGAATTCAGAAGGATAGAATCAGATGAAAACACAAAGAGCAGAAGCACCTGCGCCTTTCCAAACAATTTCGAACCAGGTCATTCAAGGTCTCTAACCGATGGTGACTTTCGTCTCGCGGACCCCAACCAGGTAGTCGACACCTACCAACTTGACTCAGTCCACTTGTCAATGACTTCATGGATTTTTGGCATGTTCTAGTCTGGACACCTCTTATTTTTCTTCCAACCTACTCCTACACCGCAAAATATAGCTCGACGAGGCATTCGGTGATTAGGCATACGTAACACATGTTCCAACCACCCCAACTGATGAAGTTTCAATACTTCGTCTATTGACCTGACATCCTTACATGGTACCGGTTTCCTAACGACCGCATTGCTTACTCAGTTGTCCCAGGATATTCGAGCAATGCTTCGGAGACACCTATGATCGAAGAAAAGCAACCTTTGAATATCTTCTACTCTGACTGGCCATGTTTCACAGCCATAAATTAGGACGGAGTGAACTGCTGCGTAGTACACTCGTCCTTTGGTTAGCAGACGGATATCTCGCCTGCGCCATGGGTTGACGCAAGTTGGCAAAAGCAAATCGAGCCTTCTCTATTGGTGCTGAGATTTCGTCAGTCACCAGGCTACCAGCACTGATGAGACTCCCGAGATAAGTGAAGCTGTCTACACACTCGACTGCTTCACTCCTTATCACTAGTTCAGGTGCCAATGCAAGCCAATCTTAGGGCAACATTTTGCATTTCGAGGGGGAAAACCACATCCCAAGCCTGCTTGCATTGTTGCTTAGGATAGTCAGGAGATACTGCATTTTGTCAGCGTCTTCACCGAATAGGACTATGTCATCGGCATATTCTAAGTCGACAAGCGTGTCTCCTGGTAGAAGGTCCACTCCTGGAAGATCAGACGAAGATACTGTTAACTCCAAAAGCATATCTATGATAAAGTTAAACGAAAATGGGGAGAGTGGACAGCCCTGACGGACACCACCTGAAGTAAAGAATTCTGATGACATTTCACCATTAACTCTTACTCGACCAGTAATGTTTGAGTAGAGAGCTTGTATAAGATTAATGTACTCCTCTGTTACACTTTTTAATGACAGACATTGCCAGAAAACCTCACGATCAACGGAGTCTAATGCCGCTCTAAGGTCGAGAAATACTATTATTGTGGGGGAAAGTTGCATCTGATACACATGATTGATATGATCGATTATTAGAAGCATAACTGACTTTTGTATCAGCTACGATGTTTTCTCACAATATTTGTAAGAAGTGTATTGATAATAAAAGACAGTTTAATATTCAGTTTGTGATGGACTGCGGTTCCAATTCGCTAAATTTTACATAAAAATTGACTTGATTATATACTAATAATAAGCACAGGAATAAAGGAAGAAACCTGTTTTCATAAAGATATGTTCAAATTATAAGATCTGTGGTTTAGTTTCTCTATGATACATGACAATAACAGAGTTGCTGAGTAATTTAAATGTTTCTGAATTTTATGGTTTTATTATAAATTTTTAGTTAATTCAATATTGCTTGTTTATCAAGTACAAATCCATGTACTAAACTATTGGATACAGTAAAGTTATACTGGCTATCGTTGCAGCACGAAGTAACTGAAGCGGGGTTTAAATATGCACAGTGATGTATATAAATCAAGTGCTTTGATTCTTTGTTAGCTGATAATAGACAGAGCATGAAAATCATAACTACCCACAGAGCCCCTCTGGAGGGGTGAAATGTGATCAGCAACTCAATCTAGTAGAAACCAAACTTGCTAAACAACGCTAACCAGAAGAAATAATGGGAGGTTCCCACTCATAAGAGTTATGCTGCTATATGATGAAAGTCGAATTTCTCCGGAGGTCACGAGGCCGACCTCCATTTTGACAACCAAAGCAACCATTCTTTTATGTAAATGGAATGTTCGAACATTGTGGCAGACCGGAAGACTGTCCCAGATTGCTTCAGAGATGTAAAGATATAACCTGGAAGAGCATGGAAGCAGGTTCGACAACTAAGACTAGCTTCGGGAGAGCTGCTATTATACTCCGGCCGAGAAGAAGAAAATGCCTCATACAAGCGAGGAGTTGCACTGATGCTGTTCAAACAAGCAAAAAGCGTACTGATAGGATGGGAATCTCATGGACCCAGGGTCATCAAAGCATCCTTCAAAACAAAGAAAGAGGGCAGTACAATGAACGTCAACCAGTTCTATGTGCCTACCGACGACAACAGTGAGGACACTAAAGATCAATTCTATGAGAGGCGATGCCCAAAAAACGACTTGACCATTCTGATGGGAGACCTGAAGGCCAAGGTTGAATGGAAAACATCGAATACCTCATGGGATGACATGAGCTAGGAGAAAGGAACGAAAATGTTGAGGGATTTTCAAACCTATATGCATTCAACAAACAGTTCATAGGTGATACTATATTACTACCGAAACGCGTACACAAAGCGTTATAGGTTTCATTGGATCACACTAAATGGAACCAAATTGACCACATCTGCATCAAAGCGAAATTAAGAAGGACCATTAAAACGCGAACATTAAGAGAGGAGCTGATATAGCCTTCGATCATCACTTGGTAGTGGCCCAAAGGAAAATGAAACTAAAGAAGCAGTGGACAACAGGGAAAACAGCATCAAGAAAGTTTAATACCGCCTTTCTTCAATATGCTGTCAAACTCAACGAAGCACCATCGCAAGGAATGGATCTCTGTGGAAACTACGATAAGATTCAAGAAATAAAGTACATGAAGATAGCAATCAGTATCAGCCAAACAAGAGCAAAGAAAGCCAGGACACAAGCTGAGTATACAGGCGTAAAAAAGAGAGGGAAGAGGAGTAGTAAAGATGATAAGTGGAAATGCGTTGAGGATCTAGGGATGATAGCAGAAAAGCTGGAAGAAAAAGAGACATGAGACAACTGTACGAAACGTCGAAGTAGCTCACTCAGAAGTACAGTAAACTAGAAGGACCAGTCAAAAACAGGAAATGGAAAGGATCACCGACATTGAAGAACAGCGATACAGTTGGGTAAAGCACTTTGAAGAACTCTTGAATCGACCAGCCCAACGAAATCAACCCAAAATCGAAGCAGCACCTCCCAATGGATCTTGACCCACTAACTATTTTAGAAATCAGCTTGACCCTCAGAAAAATCAAGAGTGGTAAAGCAGAAAGACCAAACAACGTTCCAGCTGGGATTCTGAAAGCAGACATAACAGTAACTGCAAAGACACTTCACATTCTGTTCAGCGACATTTAGGAGGAAGAATAAGTGCCAACTGACTGGAAAGGACACCTCATCAAGATACCAATGAAGGGATCTCTCAGCAAGTATGAGAAAAGAAGAGGCATCACTCTTCCCTCAATACCAAGAAAAGTCTTCAACAGAGTTGTTGTTAAACAGAATGAAGGACTCCGTGGACGCTCAACTTCCAGATCAACAGGCTAGATCTCGTAAGGTTCGATCGTTTACCGACAGAATTACAATCAACTGAATAACATTCAGCACTCTACATCAACTTCACTGACTACGAGAAGGAATTCGATAGCGTGGACAGGAAAACACTATGGAGGCTTCTTCGACACTACGGCGTGCCTGAGTAGACAGTCAGCATCATACGGAATTCTTATGATGGATTGACCTGCGAAATCGTGCGTGGAGGACAGCTGACGGACTCGTTTGAGGAGAAGACTGGTGTGAGATAAGGTTGCTTACTCTCAACCTTTCTCTTTCTCCTGGTGATCCACTGGATTATGAAGACGTTAACATCTGGTGGGAAGTATGGAATACAGTGGACAACTAGGATGCAGCTGGATGATCTAGACTTCTCAGATGATCTGGTTCTCCTATCACGATTTTCAATGCAGACGTGAAAACAGTTCTAATGTATGGAATGGAAACTTGAAGAACCATGAAGCCCTCATCCAGAAGATAAAAGTGTACATCAACAGTCGTCTACGCAAAATACTTCAGATCCATTGCTGAGGCAGTATCAGCAAGAGACTACTATGGGACAGAACAAACTAGATTCCATCAGAGTAAGGAATCAGGAAAAAGCGCTAGAGGTGGATAGGAAACACATTGAGGAAAGCACCCAACTAAGTCACAAGACGAGCCTTCACTTGGAGTCCTAACGGTCAAAGGAGAAGAGTAAGACCAAAAAACACAATATGCTGAGAATTGGGGACAGACATGAAAAGAATGAACAGTAATCGGATGGAAGTGGAGAACAAAGCTCAGGACAAAGTTGGTTGGAGAATGCTGGTCGGCGGCCTATGGGGGTAACAGGCATAATTAAGTGAGTAAGTAAGTACTGAAATCATATTAAAACAAATCCACTTATATTTATAATAATAAGGATGAATGCACGTCATATAAAGGGTTAACATTTCAGTAGAATTTTATCTTGAAATCAAACTAATTACTAATATATCGATTATCGAATAACTATTCAATTTTTTGAAATTTAGTAAACCGAAGTCATACACTAATGTTTTGTTAGTTATTGACTAGTATTTCTGAAACGTATCCTTCATAATTATATCGTGAGTAATCAGACTAGTAGAAATATATAAATAAAGAAAGAGATAGACAGCTAAATATGCTAAATATCAAACATTGAAAGAATTCATATGCCAGATTTGTTCTAAAATTAGGAAATACCATTAGCTAACAGTTATTGTGACTATTTTTACTAAAACTATTATAAACACTATTATTCCGAGGTCAGAGTTATTGATTAGATTGTTGGTTGATTTCCTTTGCTAAAATAAAAATCTATAATAATATGTGTATTACGCAAAAGAAATATACTCAAAATACTGTATGATGCAATAAACGAATAGATGAGATAAGGTTTCGATATTACTCTGCTTACAGTACATCAGTTACATTTATTAATATTATTAGACATTCATTATAGAGGTAAGTTAATTTAACAAACGGTTATAGTGTATTAAGATGAAACATATTATTTTTGTATAGTATACCGATTAATTTTTTGAAACTATTAGTTATTATATCATAGTGTACTTAACAAAATTGAACTGCTCTTTAAGTATTTTCATCTTCAAAGAAAAATAAATCTACTAACAGAACAGATGAAAAGTGGAAAGAATCAGTTAAATATCTCATATCGATTGACTAGTGTTTTTAGTGATTTGAAAGTCTACTGATAATAGAATAAGTAAATAAATGAATAAACTGATTTTTGTTGTCATCATTTTGAAAATTTATTTCTGAATCAGTTATATCTTTAGGAATTAATCTGGATTACCATCCTGTAGACTGATTTTGTTACAGTCTCTTATTTATTGAATGGTTGAATGTATGAAACATTGGATTTTGACTAAATGGTGCCGTACTTGTCACAAAACTTCAAGTTCATGTGGAGTCTCTATGGAATCTAAAATTATAAAAGATCTGTCAATAGTTATCGTATTTTCAAAGGTTTTTTAGCAAAGATCACTTTATGAAGCATTCCACCTTCAATTCATTCCACTGAAACAAAATCTACAAACTTAAATTATCTAGCATGGTTTTAATGTAACAAGATTTTATAAACTATATTGAATTACTCTTCAGACAATCATCCAAAATTTCGGCTTTTAATTTGGAAGTTTAAACTGTGTTATTAAGAAATAAGATTCATTTAAATAACGCTTGATCTGAGAAGAATACTAAAATGAACTTTGTTAATGATTACAATTATACCAATCAACTGATTGACTAAATTTCTGTCCACCCTACCGTAGCTTGAAATTCTAAAATGTATAATTAAGATGTAAACTTAACTAACGGTTATTATTCTTATAATTAGATGATTCGAATGAATAATTTATCAAATACAGTAAATTGTAATTTGATTTGCTGTTAACGGTAATTTACATCTAAAACTGATAATAATTACAGTTAAAAACAAAATGATTTTCTTAAAATAGTTTAATCTGACCTGCATAAATTTATCTTATGGAAAGTTTTGGTTCGCGTATTTGAAAATTATTGATATTTGTATAAAAGTGGTTTAATTCTGTCGTAAAAATTGTTTGAAATGCGTAGATCTTATTTTACTAACTTATGATTTAGCTAGATAACTGTGTAAGAGTAATATTCAGCATTTGAAATTAATCCCTTGTTTAACAAGTTGTTGTTACTTTTTTCACCCTCAGGGAGGAATCATCTCTGAGATCATTACTAAAGTGGTTTCAAACATCATGACTAAATAAATTCTGATTGCGATTCCGTTTTTCCAATTGATGGTCACTATCTTGAACACTCTACTATTAAAAGTGGTATTCTCCCCTTAGGCGATCACTTTTAAAGAGAAATTCAATCTCCACAGAGATGCTTACTAAGAGGGTTAATACAGTTCAACAGACTCTCACTCCTTACTAATGAAGATTGTTGTTTTTAAAACACTTGTATAATCAATGAAGTGAATCAGTACACTCTGGAAATCTTCGGCTTTATTAAGCTTAAATTTATAATAAACAAATTCCTAATATGTATATATATCTTCCATTGCAACGGACAGGTCAAAACACTTGTGTCAATTCATTTCTGTCTAAAAATAAGAATGAAATAATCATCGTTAGAGAAATATATTAGTGAATGTAATTAAGGCAGTACAACCTCTCAGTCTGGAAAGATTTTTGACAAGAGTATATACAACATACATTAGGTCAAAAGTACTTACTATATATATATATATATATTCTGAAGTATCTTTCCATGAAAAATATACTTAGTGTATAAGCTAATACACCTATCAAATCAAATCTGTTCAATACGTAACGCCCGCCCTATTTCATCTTTATAAATATTAAACTCAAATAATTTGATACTTTAAATTGTAATCATAAAAAACACTTGAAGTTTATAAATATCTTTATATATTTCTAAACTCTTGTAAAAATAAAACAAAACAAATTTATGCATGGATTTTTTTAAACAAGTCTTCTGTGATATTGTTTCTCATTAAAATCATTAATAACAGATACCATTCTGTTATTGTGTTATTGTTTTTCAGTTAGTCTTCTGTAAAGATTTTATTGTATTGAAATAATCAATGACATTGTAAGGAAAACAGACAAATAGTACATCCTGTTTAAGAAAAAAAAAATTAACGAATTCACATTACACAGAAAATGTGTCGTTACGAGCATTTCGTTTGAGATAGGGATTTTTGTCTACTGTTGGAATGTGTATCGATCGCTAATTTGGTATCAAGTACAATGACTAAAAATGATTAGTAGCAATAGTGGTAATGCTGAGATTAATTATACATTATTTTCATTTGGAATTTGTTAATTTGTCTGTTTGTTTTTCATTCAGTAGGACAACTGACACAATATAAATAAATAGGTCCATCTGGTGTGATAATATTCCCATGTTTTGGATGATAACAGACATGTATCAAATCTTTTGGATTTAAACCAGACTCTAGTCCTTCAGAATAAGGTGCTATAAAACGTTTTAATCGATATGGTCTTACATTATCCGCTGACATCCATTGGAATTCTTGAAATGGTTTCTGTAATGGTGATGTAGGATATGGTGCATTGACAGTATCATATTCATTGTAGTGAACGCCATAGTTATCTGCAGCATTATTGTAATTGCCAGTATTAGTGGCAGTGATAGTAGTTGCAGTAATAACATTACTAGTTGTATGATCAGGTGAAGCTGTTATTGTTGATATATGAGTAGGTGACAGAGATCTTTCTACTTTGATTGTTGTCGGTTTTGTATATGTTTCAGGATAATTTTTGGATATGGAATGAACACCAGATTCATGATTCATTTCTACCGATTTGCTTGTAGTAACTGATTGTTTTAAATCAGGTGATAATGAAATTTCAACTATATCAACAGTAGGTCCAGCGATTGGAACAGTAAATTTTCTTTCCGATTGTGTACATCGATTTCCACAAAGAGTGATTAAAGTGTTCACTAACTGTTCACGATCTGTACCGCTTTTTGTACAGAGTATAACATATTCTTTTTCAGATTTATATAAACGTGAAGCTATACCCAAAGCTAATAAATTAGGTGTTGAATAAAATGTCACTAAACAATTGATTTCACTTAAATGAATACCATTCAATATGGAATTAGGCCACCAATAAGCACCAGATAACCATAGTTCATCATTGGTTATATGTAATCGACACCATTTTGAAGGTTTATGTTTGTTTTTCAATTGTTCACCATGTCGTTTAATTAGTGTTGTTGAACTGAACTCATCATCCGGATCTAATTTTACATATTTTTTAATCATTATACGTGTTGATGCAACTTCTTTTCCTTGACCATTACGCATGTTTTTATTGTGATTTCTTTGACAAAACTACTACTGTATGTTGGATAAAATTAAAACAAATTTTAACTAGGTGAAATAAGAGAAACTATCGACCTGATTTAATAGATGAACTCACTAGTTTATTGATTTTTTGTTACTGTAAACTTGAATTAATTATATATTTTTCGGCTAATGATAATATTAATAATCCACACTTCACTGGTATTACCTCCGGAAACAGTTCGGTTAACTAATCAAAACTATTGAATTTTGAATAAACCCCCCGAAGAAAAGTGCGAATGAATTGAAAAGAAAGTGTTAAAAACAAAAACAACACAACAATCACTAAACTAGCATAATTAATGTGTGTGTATTTCTATTTCTGTATCAACATAGAGTTTGTGATCATTTGAATGGACAAAAAATATAAATTTGTATATTCGACCTAGACAATGAAATACCAATCATAAACTCTATAAATCACGTGGTTTATGTTGAGAATAGTAATAGCGAAAAAAAATCATTCGAAATTGAATTTCGAAAAGAACAAGAATATGATGAAACCATTTGCCTTAATCAGACGTTATTCTGTGTTCCCCTTCTTTTTCCTTATGGACTTGTTTTAAGATGAATCTTGATTTCCGTGAAGTTTGGTTCATCCACCTCCAGCCTCTTGGCTTAGTCTCTGATACAGTAAATTATCGTTGATGATCTCTGCCGAATCACTGAAGTGTCTTGCTTAGACACCTCCTTATAAAAGCCTGTACATTTTTGATGATGGTTATAGTAGTTCTTCAATCCACAACACCATAAGATAGAACTGTCTTGAAGTTGTTATTGAAAGTTCTGACTGATGTTAGCCGAAAGTTCTCTTGAGTTCTAGATACTCCTTAATTATAGGAATGCTGCTCCTGCTTGCCAATACACTACATGTCTACATCAGATAAATTATATTGGCTAAGTACGTAGGTTATTCAAGTCTCTTTATTCTCTCCTGGACCATCTGTGACGGTTTGAATACTTTGAAAAAAACTTATGTTTTCATTTAACAAATCTTACAGTTCTCACTTTCTTTAAATTTATTCTATACTTAGTGACTTGGGTACTACTTTGTGTAGTCTGTTTAAACGTAATCTTATCTATCGACTCAGAGAACTTGAATGAGATAACACTATAAGATAAAAAAAAAGGAATGAGCAAGTTGTGGAATCTTCCAAATATTATCATAAAAAACCTAGGAAGAGGTCATTTACAGCGAACATGTTACCTCTGTGTTTTACTTATTACAAATATCATCTTGACATGAACGAAGAACTTCTTATTTTAATACTTACACTTGGAATAAGATTTAACAACTGATTTTTATCAGAAGTATTATACATGTCACTTGTTCATTGTCCTACCGTGAGATCAGAATGTAGTTATAAATATAATGATACATAACGAAACGAGTCTTTAAACGGTGAGTGTTGAGTGTTAGCATTTAAGACAATAAACTAATTGACACTTATTCATAGAATTGGCTTAAATAAAGCGTGAGCCGATCCGTCACCTTCACAAAATTAGGAGTGAGTTGAGAAATATTTAAGATGGATTAGTCTAATAATGTTTTGGTTCATATTAAGTGTTCATCTCATGTTTTTTAAGTGAAAGCCTAATGAATATTGAAAAGGCAACAAAAAACAATGTTACATGATGTTATTTAATGCCGGTAAACGATTATTTCTAATACAGACTTAAAATAATTTTTGCGATTATTTCAATGACCAACGTAATGACTTTATTTAACACAGTCTAATTACAAGTATTTTGACTGCATTTTTAAACAGCTTTATCCTACTTACAAGTTGACTGTGTTCAATATTCAATAATTCTACTGATTGTTATTCACAAAAATTTCCTTAAACTGTTAATAATATTTACTTTACAAGTACTTACTTTACATCAATGTTATTTCTGTACTGATCAATAAAGATAAACATAAAAAAACAAAAATCAGTAACTTTACACACAGTTCTAAACAAAACCAATGACTCTGGCTTATTATATTCAGCTCAGCTCACAACAGTATTATGATTTCAAGAAGATGGGTACAAGTGAATTGTAACTCTTAGTCTAGGTTTCATGCTAGTCGACATTTGTCACTGTGACGCATCGATAGGAATACGGTCCCCACAGAAACAGTTATGTCCTCAATAATTTAGATACCATTTATCTAATAGTTCCAATCATTACAAAACTTAGGCTCACGATATCCTACTGACCACGTTTGACCAACGAACATTAAACAAAATGCAACGTAATTTCAATCTATTTAAACTCTTGGTCGAATCATAAATTGATTATTGAGTTCCAGTCAATAGATTACCGTCTGATCATATAATAGTAAGGAATCAGTTTTGCGGAATAACAATCATCATCAAGAAACCAGGTTTCGTTTTTATGACAGAACTGTGAAAAATAATCATTTACATTCCATTTTAATGAACGTAAAACTATATCTCAGTTTAAAATGAGTGGAAATTCACAGAAATTCGTTGTAAACTTGCACTGATAAATTTCATTTGTTTTCTTTCATTTTGTCAGTAAAAATAAATTATAAATTTATCTTATTCACTAAAAAAAAATTCTGCAGTGCAAAAATAAGGTAGACAAGTGTAAAGCATTGAAATTATTTGTTAAACAAATCAATCTAAAAATAAAATATTTAAATTCTTTTTTCAATAAATCATTCAAATTTAAGTTTCATCAATAACAAAACAAAGTTTACTTTTTTATAAAGTGCACGAACAATGAAAGAAGTCAATAACTTAAGACCAGGTGCATTACAGAAACCTGTTATCTCGAGAGAGCAGTTTTTTTTGTCATTGTCGAAAAGATCATTTTTCATAGGGAAACAATAATTGATTTATGCACTGAACAAAATTTATGCGATTCTTTAGTGAAGAATATTTCAGAAACATATTTTATTAGTTGTGTGTCTTTCTTCAGAAATAGTATTATAAAAAAATGATTACTTAGAGATATTTAAAACACTATTACACATCGTTAAGTTTTTTTTCTTTCTAAACTATATTATTCAGTAACGGAAGCTTTCATTATCATTTTAAGTTTGTAATGACCAAGTTATTTCGAACTATACTATCACACTTGCTACTCTAGATCCAGAGAAGATAATGGAATGCGAGCGAATAAATATATTTTAGACATCAAGTCTTACTTGATAGATAGATAGATAGACCTAATAAGTAATTAGTGATTTAGGATAGAAGTTATACATTTCGTTTTTCTCTTCAAATAGATGATCTGATATTGCAGTATAAAAGAACTACACCTGGAAGTCAAGCATCACTTTGACTGACTTGTGTGTGACTCATAAAACACCTATCGTATACAAGTTGGGATGTTAACCAATAATTAATTATGTTTATTCAGTAGTTCAGTGTTCTAGGGAGAAAAATATCTTTGGCTATAATAAGTAAGCACTTAGTAAATTGCTAAACAAATTCACCAAACCTAGATTAACAAATAGTAAATGAACTAGTTACAGTAAGTAGTTCAAAACTTTATAGAGTTACCTTGGTTGGAATTACTCAGCTCCAAAGTTGGAAAAACTTGTGCAGTAAGTTTTAACCGAAGATCAAAAACATCAGTAGATTTTGATGATCATTTTAGAAGATTTCATGATCGAATCATATAACGCAGAGATACTGCAATGCATGAACTGCGTAATTCATGGCCATGTCCACTATTTCAAAAAATTAGACTAGAAATAAGTAGATTTTCAACTGTTTCCCAGATGGTGTCAGTAATCAAAATACGTTTGGAAATAAATTTTTAGCTACTTACAAGTAGTTAGTGATGAGTGGCACAATTGATGATAGTTAAATGCTGAAAAAAACTTGAAGAAACTTCAATTAATTCATGGCATAAAAAAAGATTTCTTCACATTTTCATGAGAAATTAAGAAGTGAGTAAATGTGAGCAATTGACACAGAGCAATTAGTTTCTTCTGTGTTTCGAATAAAATCTTAGATTTTAAAGTACACACAGAATATAATCAAGCACTAAAATCGGATCTTCCCGAGTAGGGCTGAACAACTACCAACGGAAATCCCATTGTCAGAACTTTCAATATGATAGGTTGTGCTGGTTTTCTCAAATAAACTGTCAAACCAATAAGCTTACTTACATCTTGATGGATGAAATTAGAAAACGTTCATTAAACTCGTTGTAAACATAATGAGCAGTAGTACATAAGTAACAAACATACTTTTATGATGGTATTTTTATAATTAATAATTTTATATTTAGTAATGACTTATGAAGTTAATCTACCAAAATGATTGCCTTATAAACACACTTTATAATTACTGATTCTCATGATATCTTCGAGTATTTATTAATTTATTAAAAAACTTATATAAACCAAGTAAATATTTCGTGACTTTTTCAAAAGTTTATCTGTTTATTTTCAACTTCCAAGTAACCACGGTTTCACTACTAAACGAGCTGCAAATAACAATAATCATTTGTGAATTAAAAACCAGTATACAAATATTCATTCTATAAAGCTGGATGCCATGTCCTTCTGATAGACTGACCGTCTACGTCCTGCTGAATCTCTGCTTCTCCTTCTGGCTGGATGGCATATGCTGTGAATGGTTCAGAACTGTCTACTAATCGACATTGGAGAAAATCTCAAACTAACCTGAAAGCCTGAACTGCTCAAGCACACAGCGACACATACTGTGGACATCGGGCGCAATAATTTGCTCACCGTACGTTTCGTAAACGAAGTCGATTACAATGAACGCTGCAGCTCAAGAGATCAGTAAAGGCCAAACGCTCTAAGTCTGAGCTTCGCTAATGAACAACGCGTAGTAAACCATAGTTGTGAGTCATTAAATATCTGGCTAAAACGAACAAACCAAAAGAACTTAGTGTGTTATTGTTATCGCTGTCGCACGATACATGTATAGGCGCATTTTCCAGTTCCGACGTTTGCACCTTTTACTCACATAATCATGATTATATTTCGACATGCGCTTATAATTTTAATTTTTCCAGGAGGAATGGAAATAAATAGTTCTGTGTGTCTTTGACATTGATCCTAACCTCGCTAGTTTTACTGGACACACCCTACCTGAAGGTGCTAGGTCACACATCCGCACCAAATCACCGTGCAATGTATTTTCTTTCATCAACTAGCAAGTTTAGTTCACTCGGTCCTCCATATCCCAACCATCGTTCAAATATACCTTCGGATCCCCTTCATTCTTAACTTCTGGTTTGACTTGGTTTTGGGTATTCTCGATCTCAAAGGTGTTATGGAAAAATGGTTGTCAAACTCTGAATTTCCAAAACACCTTCAAATCCATCTACCATACGAATATGAACGAAGGACAGATCGATATGCACAACCGATAGCTTGCCTAATTTATTATATACAGGATATCTAAAAAAACGTATCTACATGTTAATGAGAATGTAGTCAATCATTGACGAAGCCCTTTCATTCTGTATACACATTTAATATAAAAATCGTTCTCTTTGAGATGACCATCTCATACAATGGGATGAAAGAAAGCTTGATTCTCGTAAACTAGTAATTGCCTAGCTAACTCTTCTTCAGTCGGAAACTCAACACCAACAATCATCGCTTGAAACGTGTCCTCAACCTAGCTGTTCGCTACGGACATGACTGAGATAATAGACTGTGTGAAATGCTGCTCCTATGAAGCGGACCAATGTATGTTCATCAGAAAACAGGCTCTCAGTCGGAAGAATATAACGTGCCTTATGGGCAAGGGATATAAAGTCACATGATAATACAACTTCAAACTTAAAAATTTAAATCCCGTTGTCGTATATAACTTCATAAGTCATAGACCCTAGAAGTAGCATGGGATAATTCTCTATAATGTATCAGATGAATGACTGAAATAATTAATTTTCCCCCACTCTTCTTACTTATGTTAGAAGTCTACCGTTTTACATTTACCTAATATCTTATTGACTGATAACCTAACTCAAATCTTTTAATTATTCAGGCCAATCCGACTTCTAACGGTAATTGAATCCAACGTGAGCTTTATTCAAAAGTTTGTGAAGAACCTTTCGGTTTGTTGACATTCTTTTCCTCATTTGAAGACGAAAAAGAATTCATAACTGCACTCTTGCCATAACCTCTTCAGCAGGCAGGTTGGTTCCACCAGTGTAATCTTGATCATTAAAATCAATTAATGACGTTCATAAAAGACATGGATTAGTGTGTTTAATGGGAAATATTTTACCAAACAGCTTTTTTCACAGAACAATCTGAAAACATAAATTTGGCACGATCTTTAGTGAGAATCGATTGTGTTAGTGAGCAACAACTTAGTTATTAATTTATTTAAGAGATAAAATCAGATTGACAATTAATGTAGATGTAAGTAGTACATTACTTGTAGTGTATATCACAAATATTTATATCGTCCACATTGTCACTTCCAATTAATAACGAGAGAATTTCGAGCAAGGTCAACTTTGCATAACCCATTCTATTTGATTATATTATTTGTAATATTTATGGGACATGAACCTAAATGATCGAAAATAATCATTTATTGCGTTTGCATACTCATAAGTAGAACAAACAGAAATAATAAAATACTTTTGTAACTAGATCTGATCTAAGAACTATGCGAATTATCCCGTGCCCCTTGTATCACTAGACGATTTGAGTACCTTCCCAACGACAACTGACAGGTGTAAACACAATGTTAAGTAAAACTATATTTCATGCACACTAATCAGTGAACCAAACCAGGAAACTAGGAAATGAACTGTGAGATGAATTTATTCTGTCTAACTATTTAGTGCGATAACTTACACAACATTACCATAGTCACACATTTACGAAAATTGTATATGGATAAAAAGTTTTAGTAAATTATATGTATAGATTAAAAATGCTCATTAAGATAGACATTCGGTCGTATATCAGTCCGAGCATAAGCTTGTAAAAATTGTGATGTAAACTTATGGCATAATCGCAGGTTCGCGTAAAACGTCTGCTCCTTATGTTCAGAATAAATAATATTAAGCTTAAATATATTTATTTACATGATATTAAATCAAATTACTTTCACCAAATCAAAGAAAGCAGTGGGAAAACATGGTATTGATAAAAGTTTATAAGGAATTGTCTTATCTACACGTAATAATTAGACTGATTATATAATATTAACTGTGTCATGATATTAAGTTGTGGTTCAATAGCGCATGAAAGCTTACGACCGTTGTATTGTGAGCACATAATTTACAGTTGATATGACAAGCCTATAGTCTTAATTATCCTTTGTGTAACTGGCTTAAGATCACTAGGCATGACTTATCAGGATTTTACTCAATGTAAATCATTAATGATCATTTATTAAAAGATAAAGAACGTTTAAACAGTCTGTTGATGAGATCTGCAAGCAATAGCACCTTTTGTCGATACTGCGGCCACCTAATAATCCTGTCTATTAATCTATTTATAAAGCATCAGATAAATTTAAAGATACAGCATAGCGTAGAACCAATACTATCTACGTCTCTGATTTGCGAATGCATGGGATTTGAAGTGACATTTGCATCGCTAGGCTAATGTGGTATGGCAACTTGAACTGATGTACGTACGTGCGAAGTTCTATGTTGCTGTTGACTGACTGAATGCACCAAGCCAATCGACTTAAATTTGTAAATACACAGAAAACACTTTCTGAATAACCATTTGCGTCCAAGTCATAAAAAAGGCTCTAATTATCAAAATATCATCTGGAGGTGACCATATATAAAGGAAATGAGAATTTAAAGACTACGATTAGCTATCGAAACCAGGTAAAAAGCAATAAGCACCTAAACAACCAGAATATCATTTCTTCAAGTGTCAAAAATTTAATGGGAAAATCCCTTTCTTTTTTCCGTGGAATTGGATCGAGAGACTGTTATAGTGAGAAAACGTTAGGGCATATACTTTAAACTGATCAAAATCTTCAGAAAGAACAAACTCATAGGTTTTGCCAAGTAAGCACGATAAATAATCGACTCTATAAGTATGATTTGGATCCCTTTTATCAAGTTGGCACAACTATCTGGAATGAATTAAGTTAGCTGAACGTCATAGTCGTGCAATTTATTACTTTGATCGAGACAGGTAGTCTAATTTTTGCTATCACTAATTACTCTGCTAAGCCTTTAGCAAGTTAATAAAGAGCGTACATGAGAATACCGCTTGTGAAACACAGCACGTGTCAGTGCAATTATGCGATCAGTTAACAGATAATCAAAAAATCCTGGCTGTTAAGTTTAAATGTAATAATTTGAAGGATATTTTGTAACATGACCATATAGTTGTTGATGTAACTTGTAATGGAATAACAATCCAGATTGTTTGAGTTTTCAATGATTTCTACTAAAATTAACCCAGATTGACAAACGAAACGTTGAATTCACTATAAGTTGAATCGGTGAAATGATTACAAATATAATTTCCTGTTAAATGTCGATAAATTTAAAGTCTTCTTTTGTTTTGAGTAGAAGTTCATAAAACTTGAATTATATCTACTTCCCTTTTATAAAACATTATTTATCAGATGATGGCATGATAAACGAAGCCAAACATAATGTATGAGATCATAATGTGACAGCAGTTGTAATTTTTCATGTCTTCCTGAATAGGAAATTTACGAGGACGTTTCAATAATCCTTGAAAGTTAGCGACAATACATTGTCAGCTGACTAACGGCTTTGCCATCAGATCATCAGTCGATGAAACTTCTTATCTTCACAAACAATTAAAAGCCTATTTGTACACGTATGCGGAAGAAAGTTGGATAAACTGCGAGACACCCATAGCGTGGATTAAAACAGCCTAACCAACTTACAGTACCTCACAAACTGAAAATGATTTTATGAATTTGAATAATAAAATGAATTTATCTCTTTTTAATACTTAGTACAACATTCTGGTGAAGAAAAAATAACATAATCTTATCTTTTGTCAAAAATAAACCCAAACTCAATACTTTAATAACCACAGTATATAGTATAGTAAATCGATTGGTAACAAACATCAAATTAATATAGAATATGTTATTTAAAGTTAATTAGTAGATACAAGTTTTCCATTTTCATGAAGATTCAAATCTCTTTCAACTAACATTGCAGTTGTTTGATGCATAAATGGACGTTGTTCATGGAAATTTTGTATTGTTCTTTCTTTAGCTTCTGGCCATTCGTTTAAAGCCCTGAGCATAAAAATTACATAGAAAATGTATGTAAGAATGACCATTCATACTTGTATAAAACTATCATTAGAATTTTTATATACGACTGAAGACAACAATTAAATGTATTAGTGAATTGTAGATAAGAATAATAATAATAAGACAAGGTAAACTTTATCAACAATTATGTACTAATTTATTTGTATACATATGTAGTGATATTTTAGCTAGAGACCGAAAGTCGATTTCATTTAGATTTTGAAAACTAACATTATATATATAGTACTACAGTCGATAAACCCCAAACTTACTTCTAACACTGCATTACGTATAGTAAGTAATTTTTAAAATCAAGTGAATGTCGAAATGCTTCAATGACTTTACTTGATTGCATTAAAAAATGAAGTTCAATAACTAGGCACAAATCCCGTGTTTTCATTTATATCTGTTGTGTAGAAAATCAATGTTACTTGCTTGCCAGGTACGAAGTCAATGTGGTTTAAGAACTAGACATGTACAATAAGAAGCACCATAATTTTAAAAACCGAGGTATTATTATTAGCAGTAAAACATACAAACAGATTCCAAAAGTGTAAACTAAGAAAACAAACAACAACTTTGATTGGATCTTGTACTTTGAGGACCAGCTCTAATAAGGACTACGAACATGCACCACTGAAAAGATTAGCAAAATGAAAAACAGTTGCTGACCCCTTCTTTTGCATCGAATCATTGTCCAAACAGAATAACACTTATGTGTTTTAAAAGATTCTCAGTCCTTCTAAACGGAATGTAAAAGTACTTGAAAAATATTTTTAATGAATATTAAATGAACTACTAGTTATTAAAATCACACAAAATATGTTTCAATTACCGATATGTCGCACGAGTATACTTCATACGACCCTGACTGTTTAAAAATTCAAAAATATGACCTAACGCGGGTAAATGACGGGAAGCAATGCAGATCAGACACCATCTAAAAATAAAAAGAACGGTGAGAACCTCCTCAAAAAAAATTAATCAATAAAAACGGGGTGATGAAAAATTTCAGAAAAGCGATAAAAAGACGTATAGTTATAAGAAAGAATAGTACAAGACTGTTATAAGGAATTATCTAGATTCAATAATTGAAGTCAACGGGGAAACGAAAATTTTGTTGGGGTCGGACGTAAGGAGATTATGGTGAGAAAAAAATATGATTTAGTGAATTTTATGCGGTTTTATTCAAGGAAATATTGACTCTACTTAGAAGATAACTCTATAGTTACTTTGCTTATGCTTCATTTAGAATATAGCTACTATTTACGTATGTCCAACGTCCGACAGTCTTGACGAGCGGTGTTTTGTGGAGGAGTGGGTTGAAAGAAAGCTAGGGACGGCCAGACCAAACCATGGCACAAATCCATGAAGTCACTGGCAAGTGGATTGAGCCATGCTTGTTGGTGTCCGCGAGACAGTAGTAACCGATAGTAAGAGAAATGACTCAAAATGGTACAGGTGCATCTACTCTTAGTGTTCTCCCAAACTCTAATCTGAATTCTTTATGACCTTTATTTTCCTCTTAAATTTATTTCACTAGGTTATACTTCTTGAATAACATCCTTAAACCATAATCTTACCGATTACTGCGCATACTTCTACTACTTCTACTACGATGGGATTTGAACCAACAATTACATCGCTGTGCTAGTGTGGTACGGCAACTTGAACTGATGTACATACATACGAAGTTCAACGTTGTTGCTGACTGATACAGATACTATGTGTCCGAAACTTTGAAAACAGGTTGGTTGAAAAAAGGAAAACGATTACTTGACAGCTGATTGTTTGTTATAAACTCATAACGTAAGAAACTTTTTACTTTAATCCCGTGCTCAGCAACTAAACTCGTCCTAGTAATTTTCCTACCAAACACAGGTTAAACAACAGTGTATCGTTTGAAATATCAACTAACTAATATCGAAAGGTTTGAAATTTCATCCATAAAAATGATGTGAACAAAAGTAACAACTCTTTCCATTGGTCAAAAACACTGCAAAAGCTACCCGATGTCAAAGTGACTATGTTATCTGAAATAGAAGACAGCAGTGACAAAATATTCACTTCCGATTAACGCGCAGTAGTTTTGAACTCATAAATGTGACGATATCGTATTTATATTCTTAGTAGTAAAAATGTAACTAAATAATGATGAAATTACTTTGAAAAGAACCGGTGTTCATTCTTATTAGGCGAACTAAATCCAAAACCACATAACTTGACCTTGACATTTAACTACTGAATCGTACACAAGCCTCCAAGAAAACAAGAAAACCATAGAATACTGACACTATGCTGTAAATTAGGTAGTAATTTAATCTCCATTAAACCTATCAATGATATTCATTCGCAAGTATCAACTGAGAAAAGAAAGTGACTTGAAATGAATAGCTAAGTAATATAATTAACAAAATAGAGAACATAAATGGATCCATTCAATAAAACATTTTGTTACATCTAAAGAAAAGAGCGGAAAACATGTTTGGATTTATTTCATTATATAATTTAACGAATCATCGAAATAAATAGAGACAAAGTCAAGGTCTAGTTTTACTTATGTTATTAATAACAATATAGTTACGCTTTCTCGATATAGTGTTCAATATCTGATAGGTTATGGATACCATGTTTTTTATTCAGTAATTATTTCTGTACGTTTTTAACTATTTGATTAGTGAAGAACAATTATAGTATATATTGATTTATCCAAATCATTCCCAAACAGAGATTAAGTAAAATGAACTATTAGTATACAGGTCCTTATTCCAGCGACTTTTTTATAATAATTTTCTAAGCACAGCCGATTTTATATTATGGCTAAACACATAACAGAACACATTTTTGCAAAAGACAAAAAATAAAACTGTTATGAACACTAACCGGAATATTTGAAAAAGATGACTTACTGTACTCGTATTTCAGCATTTTTATGCTTGGATAATTCTAATAATTCATCAATTTTGCATAGATTACTGATATTCAGTGGTTCGGAGTCGTTAACACGGCGTAAAGTTAATTCACGTTGTTCATGTGACATTTTATGCCATAACTGAGTCAAACTTTGGATTTCTGTAGCACTTGAACACAGGTCAGATGAAGTAAGTAATTTCAGCAAATTATCACATTCTGAAAGTAATTCGTCAACATCGAACCTATAAGACAGTAAATTATAAAAATTAAATGAAATATTTCAATCTTTCACAGTATATTTAATAAGAACTTGATCACTGTAGGATAGGACGAGAAATTAGAAAAGATAATATAACCATTAGAACAATGATGAGAATTGTGTGACCTTACTAAAATAATATCAACTAGCATAATTTGACTATAACTGACAGTGTTCAAGCACATCTATCAAGAGACAATATCGAAACATATCATGCACATTGGTAAACAATTACTCAGCCCAATCAGTGATAAGTTGTGTAAATTTTCCCTAAAAGATACATTTGAATTAAGTGATGTTCTTAATGACATCATTATTAAAGGAAAGACTATGCATTTTTCTGATGTAAACTCGCTTTCTACCAATGTATCTTTAATCAAAACCGTGAATTTTCTTTGTGACTATATATGGAGTGATTTCCCTTTTCCCTATTCAGTCAACACTGTTGAGTTACATTTACTAGGTACTGAAAAAATTCATTTCACATTTGAGGGTGAACATTTTCAACAAGTTGATGGCATTGCCATGGGTAGTCGTTTGTGACCTTTGTTAAGTGATGCAGATATAGAATATGTCGAAAATTTGTTGAGTGAGACCATCAGTGAGGCTACTGTGTACATGAGATATATTGGTTATAGGTGATGAAGATTTCAATGTCTCTCAGTTACTAAACAATTTCAAAAGTTTTCAGAATGATATTATCCTGACACACGAAGCACAAAGTAATGACTAAATGCCCTTTTTAGACATGCTGTTTAGGGAGGATTGAACTATAAAATGGTCAATTTATAGGAAGCCAACTTGGACCGAACAATATTTGAATTTCAGCAGTTTTTGTCCACAGTAGCATAAGCGATGCTTGGTAAAATGTCTCTTCAATAGGGCGAAAGGAATATGCACTACAAATACATTTGAAGACGACGCGAAATTCTTGATTGATGTTGGGATAGGCTGGAAGCTAGTGGCGGCCAAACCAAAACATGGTACAAATCCATGAACTCACTGACAAGTGGACCAAGTAATGTTGGTAGGTGTAGACTATCAGATTGGGGCTCACGAGACAATCGTAACCGATAGTCAGAGACCTTGTATGACAGTTCAAAACTGTTTACATTGGCGCAAGTGCGTCCATTCTTTGTCTTCTTTGATGATCTAATAAGCTTAGGACCTTTATCCCTTTTCGAATTTATTTCACTGGAGTATAATTCTTGAAAAATATCTTCAAACCCTAACTTTTTCCATTACCGGTAATACTGCTACGACTTGGACTATTATAGAACTTGAATTGACAATTCGATCTCTGCAGCATGGCGACTTGAACTGACGGACGTACATACGATGCCCCACGTTGCAGTTGACGGACTAACTGACTAGTGGTTGCCTGTAATATTACCCAAATAAGCTGTTTAAATAGTTCCACTAGAACTGTTCGATTAAGATGAACTGAAGTCAAAAAGGGAAGGTTTGGTGGTGTTTTGTAATATTTCGGCCACATATATCTGCTCACATACTGGCGATTGACTACACAGTCAGTCAGCTATAACGTAGAACTTCGTACGTACTTACATATATAGCTGTATATCATATACATTTGATCTGACATTAGAGAATGACTATTGTGAAAATGGGCTGTGTGAAGAAATTTAGACTGCTAATAATCTTGAATCATACTTCACACAGAGTAAAGTCATTATGTGAGCAGTAAATCTAGTAACCCACCTACATAGTAGAATTTAAAGCATAAAACAGCTAAAATGCCCTAAATTTTGACAGCATATTAACAGTAATCGTTTTTTACAATCGAAACAGAATGATTGTAGTAGAATTAAGGTTTATGAGACTTCAGGGTGAAAAATATAACTCTGAAACAGAGTACCACTGAGTGTAGCAAATAGATAACAATCCGAATTCACTGGATAGGTGTTAATTATAATATCTAGCTTACCAAAGGATTTTAACTGCAGTGAGTTCGAGCTCCGTGAATAATTAACAAGAACTTCTGTTTCTACGCTAATGAGCTATTAGTAGACAATGAACAATAAAAACCATTGCTTTGGGTTGTACGTAATAATAAAAATTCTTTCAAAAATACACAAAAATATGATTATGGTAAAAAAAAATTGTTTAGGAATAGATTATAAATTTTCTCACTTCGGTACCCATGGGGGTAAACCTGGACTATGCATCCAAGAGTCCAACTGATGTTTTGGGTCAAGTATATCGGAACCTAACTGAGTTGTTAAAAATTCCAACCAAGTATTTGAATTGAGTGATTGTCCAGAAAAGTGTTTCACATAAGCTTTTAACCATTTAAGCATAGATTCTAAATAATAAGATAAAAATAAAAAATGACATTTAGCATTCTTTTACTGTAGAAAAAGTTTTCATATGCGAAATTCCATTGCTTAATCAACTGAGAAGGATTTGATTTATGGCGCTGACATTATTGTAAAAGGTGATAAAGATGTCCAAAGAATTTAAAGATAGTTCAGAATTATAGAATCATATTACTAATAGCATTAAACAGATAACTAAATTATTAGTAAAAAGATTACATCATATTAACATAGAATGAATAGAATGAAAGCAATAGATTGTTGTTTAAAGTAAAACGATGAGTTGCGCAATAATTTAGAAAGTAATAAAGCGAAACGAAAAAGAAAGGAATCAATTGTAGAAAGCGGAGAACTTACAATAAAGGTAAAATATGTAAGTTAGATTTGTAGTTGAGAGCTAGAAGCTAAAAGGTAAACAGAAAAAATATACAGCTTTACAAAAAGTATTATCCTAGAGTATTTTCTAATAAAGGCACATTTATTCCAATGAGCATCAAAAGGTCGATTTAACAAGCCAATAAAATGTAATAATAACATAGAACGGTCATAACTGGCTTACCTTTTCCGTACAAAGTCTCTATGTAGTAGAGCAAAAGAGATCCCTTTTCATAAGGAATTCGACTATAAGCTTCATCTGGATCAACATCTTTTAAGTCGATAATTAGCTTCGTCATTGGATCTGATGCACCAAGAGTTTTGACCTGTTAATTTTGAATAACCAAATAAGTGAAATATCAATTGTTAGTGTTTGCACAATCGAGTACCAAATGCAAGTAGTATAACTTAGTAACTTACTGCACATATGTGTGAGTTAATGACACTGCCGAGCTACTCAGTTATGTTCGAACTTGTGACCCGTAAATTAAGGGCTGTATTAGACACTAGTAATTAGTCACTTGTAAAGTAGGACATAAGAAGAGGTGGTAAATGACGGCTTAAAAATGTTTTTATTTGATGGATGAAGCTCATTTAAATGAGAAAAACTTACTTCTTCTAGCAGTTCCTTGTAACCTAAACTTAGATGAAGATATCTCATATGCGATCCATGAAGACTTTCTACAATTAAGCGTTCCAAATACACAGTGTGTCCTTCGTTTAACCAAAAGTCATCCCAATTTGAATTTGTCACTAAATTACCAGTCCATGAATGTGCAATCTCATGGGCGATTACATTAGCTAACGATCGATCACCAGCCTAAAATAAATAAACCCCAAAGAATGATGTAGTAATTGAAATAAAGAATTTCTACTGAAATAAATGTATGAGTGTAGCATACGAATCAACATAGAATTGAAGAGATTAGCAGCATCACTGTAATGGAATCTGAATATAGCAGTACTGCTATTTAATGGGAAGTTAACTTCTTTAAAGATAATGTTTTCTGCAAGTAAATAAAAAAGCTCTTCTCATGAATAGATCTTTTAAATTACTATTCTACATTAATAATGATTTTTATTGATAAGTTGGGCTGGGAAAACGCAAAAAATAAACTGCAATCTTTATTTTCTGCTATAACAACATATTTTATCGTCCTAAAGCTACCTCTGAGCCAATAAATTGCAAGTATTTGAATCCTTTTATGAAAAAATCATCAGTAACTCGATTACCGATAATCCTCACATAAATCGGTATTTTCGACAAGCAAGTTTTGCATGAAAAAGTTTATAGCACTACCAAAGATTACGTTCCCAAAATAACACTACTGTGAATGTTTACCATGAGATAACAACAATAAATAATTCTATCAGATATCCTTCATTAAATCACTAGCAATCAGGTTTACTTTATTTACACTGACGTACGTAGCAGCTTCCGGCTATCCTCAAAGACTAATCCTATATCCTAATATATACTCAGCACTAGTCAATAACTCCACGATAATCTAGTTAATCAATGACTCTAACAGGGTACAATTTTCTCAACAAATTGAGTAAAATGACTTCGTTCAGAATAGATTGCAAACTTATCAAATTTAAGAAAAAGCCAGAGGATTTTCATTAACCGTTTAGTTTAACAATGGCTAGCGATCCAGTAAGTTGTACCAGCGTTCAAGGGTTTTCAGTCAACAAAATATTAGTCAAATATAAACGAGTCATGTGATTATGTCAACCTAAAACACAAGTGGGGTTATCGAGACATGATCAAGGCATGAAAACACAACAGTATGCTCTGTAAAGCGTGGCTGTTATAGTGAACGGAACAATGTTTCCCTTTTTACGATGAGTACCCAAGAATCCCAAGTTTTGTGTATGAACTGTCTGTAAATTATCGGTGTAGGGTTTAGTATTAGGTAAAAAATCGTTTGATGAGTTTGTAAGTTGGCATAATACTTGTGTGTTCCAAGACTGCCAAAAGTGATATTTCACAGCCTCAAAATGACTGAATTAAAATAACATAAAACTCGATAAAGTATATGTTCATACTCGTTGATTAAAGTTTTACAGATCAACTGTTGGAAGCAATGTTAGAAATCAATGATATCGGTGCATTTCTATCTTCAAGCCAATTCGATTGACTTTTTTTGAGTCAATTACTCCATTCAATTTATTAGACATCGATTACTTTTTTAACTTTGGTAAGTTACCTGACTAATGTAACAGATCTAGTGTTTTTTATTTGGACTGAATGATTCAACTATTACAGTTTATGAAAAAGTTGGCTTCCGATTTGGCATGGTGTGAAGCAAGTCTGTTTGAAATATAAACATTTATATTTTCACAAAAGAGTTGTGAAGACTGCTGAGTTTCGTTGAAATCATCCAGTGCTTTCAGGTTAATAATAGTCTAACAATGATAGATACATGATTTCAATGTAACTCAACAATCTTCACAACTTTATAATGAAAATCATAGAACTGTGGAATTCAACCCTGTCCGGAATAGGCATTTATCCACCGAAGACAATGGGTGAAGTTGCGTAATACTTTACATTGATTAAAGTTAGACATTAACACTGTTGGATGCACGCTCAGTGGTCTAGAGGTTAAGCATTTGTGCATGAGACCGAAGGTCCTGAGTTCAATTCCCACGAGTGGGGTTGTGTGTGCGTACTACTGATGAGTCTCACATTGGGATGAAACAGCCGTCAATGCTTTCATGCTTCTAATGGTGATCTAACAATGATCGAACCATGATTTTAATGAAAAATTTGTATGTATATATTTTTTCATGAATTCTTTTAGCTTCACAAGTGATTACTCAGGTTGTTTTAGAAATACATAAGACGGTTGAATAGAAAATGTCTTTAAAACCCACTAGTTAATAGTATGTATTAGATATTCCTAGAGGAAATTATAACTGATTGTAGCATGATCAGACGGCAAGTTCACTGTCATGACAAATTCCTAAAATGTGATTAAAAACACATCTTGTACTATGAATCAATATAAAAATTCTATCCACCAGCAAAACACGTACCAGTAGAGTAGGTGAAACAAATGTTAAACATGGATTTTCCATACCACCATAGGGGAATGTCGGTGGAAGCACCAAGATATCATATATATCCCACACATAAGGTCCACAGATATTTTCAGCTGCTGAAATCATTTGTTCTGTTTCACTAAATTCATAAGCTGCTTTTTCAACTATACTGGGTTCAGCCCATACAGATGAACGTGGACCAATTTTTCTAGGAAAGATAGTGTACAAATATTACTCTTCAAAGAATAAAATCAAAGATAATGTCCTGAGACTGATTCAAAATAACGTTGGTGGTAATATCCTGGAACTGTTTGTACAAACATAGAGTCAAATTGTAAACTTCCACTGTTTACAGGTTGAACGGTATTTCCGAACACTTTAAATAGACATAATCTGATAACCATTAACATTTGTTTCAATGGGACGACACTATAAAACTAATATGTGTGCAGCCTAACTTAAACTAGATTTAAGCAGATATAATTTGATGTAATTAGAAATAACAAGTATAAGAGTAGATTATAAAGATTTAATTACTTTGACAACTTAGATACGACAAAGATGTACAAGAAAACGTTAAAATTTTGACAGCAATTCATATGTAGTGATTTCTAATTCTGTTGCTTCATATGGTAAGGAATGAAATAATGTAATACACACATGCTTCCATATTATGTAGCAGCGAGCTTACCTGCTAGCTAGATCTCCACAGGCAATAGCGATCAGATAACTGGGAATCGGGACACTTTGCTTAAAGTGATAAGTAAGGTGTTTATCGTCGGTCACGAGTGGCTCTGCAATACGTTTGGCACCCATGATGACAACGGTTTCCTTTGGAGCGGTTACCTTTTATCAATGATAAAATAATATTTCAGTGACTAGAACTCGTTAACTAAGTGTCTATTTGTATGCACCTGAATTATGATGAAGTATTATTATGAGAAAGATAATGTAATTGTATCTCACAAAAGATGTGGTTTGTTTTTGAAGGCAAGAATTAACTTAGGAACTAGGGAAAAGTGAGTAGTTAAAACTTTACATCAAACGAATTCATTTTATTTTTAGTATAATAGAACTCAATAACTGTTAAAACTGGACTTCCATCCTTGAAAATCTCAGGGGTAAGCCTATCAGGATTCGTTGCTTTCTTTTGCTTCAGATTTCCTATAGCTTTTTCAACTTCATAAAGACTAGGACTTCCGTTAATTTGCCATTCAGGTTGACTGGAGATCGTGGGCAACCGAAGTGTGGCTGAAGGCCAGTTGAACTGATAAAACTATCAAGTAATAAATGATCGAATCGGAGACTTATACACGATTTTTTACACTTTCAAAAACATACTTTAGCTGATATATCCATATATTTTTACCTAGAAATGTAATTCACTAGTTATTCTACATTGAATCTTAAACAGAATGTTTTTCTGATCTTTGTGGGAACTATTATAAATGATGTTGAAGGAAAAGAGTTGTCTGGTATCTAAATGAATCAATCGCTCTAAAATGATATGTTTAGCTCAACAAAACTACCAAATAAAAGTACAACTCGTTTAGTACTTACTTAAGTTACATAAGACTGAAGCAGATCCAAAAATGCTATAAAATCGACGATTAAACGCTAAAATGTTCAGATTCAGTAGCAAAATATGACGATCTCAAATGGAAATTATAAGTCGTTTACTGATAAAAGCATAAGGTGTGCACGAAAACAATGTATATATCGACTAGTGTAGCAATGACCTATCCCGTAAATCCTGGCAAATTGAGGCGAAGAACTTATAACTTTATCAAAAACTGCAAATTATGACAAAAAAATTTGTTTAAGGATATGAGATTTACTTTACCTTAGCTTCAAAGGGAAACTTAGAAGATGGAGTATCCTGACAAGGAAGAAGACTACGGGCATGAATAGCTTGACATTGGCTGAACATAAATGGTTGACGGCGATCAGCAGTTAGCTGTGGGTCTAGCCATTGAAGAGCAGATGAATCTGGAGAAGTTTCGTAATCGATCTTAACATCATACCTATGAAAAATGGATTAAAGTGAGTCAGCTTCAAGACTTATATATGTCAGACATGAGAGCAGTACCTCAGGCAAAAGTATTTAAGATATTTACAGAAACGATACAACACTGAAATTACATAGAAGCTTTTATACTAATCTGTTTTGGTCACCGCGGTTGGTTTGTACCTGAGACGGTTCGGTAGATATTTCAGTGAAATTGAGTGAGTAGCAGTTTTTTCGAAAAGGTCGTTCGGTACTTTTCTTTATTTCTTTGTACATGGCTTCGCCTTTTCGGATACCGTTTGCGTACAAACAATTTTAAGAGTTCACGAGTTGTTGCGATTGAAATTACGGATTAGGTTCGTACATTTTGATTTCAAAACACTTGAAATTCCAAGTTTCTCTTATCGAATCTAACTACTAGTGCATCCAGGAATAACAGTTTGTTTAATTTTTTTACCAACATAAATTTTATGTTTTCGAAATATAAATAAACAAAAAATTATAGTAACAAATTATCACTGTACGATGCACTTCAGACTTATGTTTTACCTATCTGAGGCCGTATTTGGTATGATTTCCAAACAAGATCCGAAAGCTTGCACAGTAACAGGTTTTAAATGCCATTTCACTGGTTCCGAATTTACGTGAACTGAATGAATTTTTAGGTCCCTTGTATCTAAGAGCTAAAATTTTAAACGTAAAAACCCAATTTAGTACTAACACAATATATTTTAAAGAATTTAAACTTATTATTTGTTCGTTATTCGAGAAAAAACCATGATATACAAAAGTTAATTAAAAACGTATTTTATAAAACAATACAGAAACAAGATAAGGTTGAAAAATAACAAAACACGTAATCATAAGAAAAAACAACACATGAATATGCAAGAAAAACTCCATAACTTTTTTTTCCAATCTTTGTCTCACTAATAATAATAATGACAATAATATGATAGTAATACAATAATGATAAATAATGGCCCTATTCAGTATTACTTGTTTGGTACCATGTGGAATTTCCACCATACAATATTTCAACAAGTTTCTCTTTGTTGTCTTTGCCTACAATCCCACTGACTGCAGCTCGGACAAGGTAAAAAATGAGTTTTAAAAAATTTTTCGGACCTCCAAAAAGTTAGGCGCTCTGATATAGTAAAAATGGCTGGTGGTTTCAATGCTCAATTAAGTAGACTAAGCGAAACGGAAAGACACCTGGGTGGATCTTATGGTGTTGCGACTCAAAAAACAGATAATGGTAACGCCTGTTGCAACTACGCTCAGAAAACCACCCATTTCTAGCAAATACTAACTTTAAGCATAAGGAAAAAAATTGACTCAAATAGACAAAATCGCCACCAGTCATCGAAGACGAGGTTCGATAGAAAATGACGCTCATTCTGGAGCACATATTTAGACTTATATCATGCTCTGGTGTGAGCACGTGTTTGTTTGAGCCTTACTGGACATAGAAAAGACACAGCGAAGCGGGTTTATCTCAGGAAGAGCTAGGAAAACAGTTAGACAACCATGTAAGCGATGCCCACCCTGAGGCACCTTGGAGCGATATCCATAAAGTTGTGGAAACAGCAGTGATATCTGCCAATAAGGTTAACCATGAGGATAGGGAGAAGCAGTGGATATTATTAGCATCTAGATAACTGATAGATGCTCAGAAACTCAGCCCGTCTGGCTCTGAACACGATGAGCAGTGGAGGCAGCTTAAACAGCCCGATAAAAAGCTTACACAATGATCGCGAACAGGGGTGGGTAGAGGAAGCAAGAGAGATGGATAAGGAAGCGGCGACAGATAACAGTAGACAATTACTCGAACTTATTAAGGGAAACGATATTAGAAATCCGACCGTTAGCGAGACTCTCAGAGAAAGATGGGACGATTATTGACTCTCAATTCAGGAGATTGAACCAATGAGAGGAAAGCTTCAAGGAGCAGTTCAACTGACCTTCAGTTGCCCACGGTTTACAGTCAGCCAGAAAGGCAAGATGATGAAATTGCTCCAAATCTTAATAGGGTTCGAAAGGCTATAGGCGCCCTGGAACGAAAGAGAGGGGTAGGCCTTGATTGATCAACCCGTAAGATTTTTAAGGATGGTCATTCAGTCAGTTACAACGCACGTACATCAGTTAAGGTAGCCATACCACACTAGCACAGATACGCAATTATCAATTCAAATCCCATAGTAGTAGAAGCATTAGAAGTATTAACAGTAATCAGAGAAATTAAGGCTTGAGGATATTATCCAAAGAGTAGAATCTAGTGAAATAAACTTAAAAAGAAAAAGATAAAGGTGATGAGGAACTCCGAAGTTTAGGATTTGAGAGAACACAAAGAATGAATGCACCTGCGCCATTGCAAACGATTCAGAGCCATGTCGTTCAAGGTCTCTAACCACTGATTAGTTTCGTCTCGAGAACCCCAACCAGGTAGCCGACACCTATCAACATGACTCAGTCCACTTGTCAGTGACTTCATGGATTTGTGCCATATTTTGGATTGGCCGCCCCTAACTTTCTTCCAACCTACTCCTACACCGCAAAATATAGCTCGACGAGGCAGTCGGTGGTTATGCATACGTAACACATGTTCCAACCACCCCAACTGATGAAGTTTCAATACTTCGTCTATTGACCTGCCATCCTTACATGGTACCGGTTTCCTAACGACCGCATTGCTTACTCAGTTGTCCCAGGATATTCGAGCAATGCTTCGGAGACATCTATGATCGAAGAAAAGCAACCTACGACTATCTTCTACTCTGACTGGCTTATTTCGCAGCCATAAAATAGGACGGAAAGAACTGCTGCGTAGTACACTCGTCCTTTGGTTAGCAGACGGATATCTCGCCTATGCCATAAGTGATGCAAGTTGGTAGAAGCCAATAGAGCCTACTGTATCCATGCTGAGATTTCATCAGTCACCAGGCCATCAGCACTGATGAGACTCCCGAGATAAGTGAAGCGGTCTACACACTCGACTGCTTCACTCTTTATCAGTAGTTCAGGTGCCGATGCAAGCCGATATTGAAACAACATTTTGCATTTCCATGGGGAGAATCGCATCCCAAACATGCTTGTATCGTTGCTTAGGGGAGTCAGGAGACACTGCATTTTGTCAGCGTCTTCACAAAGTAGAACTATGTTGTCGGCATATTCGAAGTCAACAAACAAATCTTCTGGTAGCAGTTAAACTACTGAAAAGTCAGACGATAAAAGTGACCTATCAAAAAGCAAGTCATGACAAGGGTGAATAAAAATGGAGGAAGTGGACAACCTTGAAGTAATCAGTTTCGTTGAATTAGGAAACGGGGACTAAGTAAGGATGGCAGATTAATAGATGAAATAGTGAATCTTCACCAACTAATTTAGTTGAAACCTGGGTTACCTATGCCAAACCACCGGCTACATCGACAGGCGATGTTGTCTGGAGTGGGTGTTGGCTGAAAGAAAGCTAGGGACAATCAAACCAAAACATGGCACCAGTCCATGAGGTCATTGACAGTTGGACTGGGTCATTTTAATAGGTATAGACTATCAGGTTGTGGCATACGAGACAATCGTAACCGGTAATAAGAGACCTTGGATGACATGGCTCAAAATGGTTAGTAAAGGCAGAGGTGCGTCCATTGCTTGTGTTCCCCCAAAACTCTAAGCCTCGATATTCTTCATGACCAATTTTCGTTAAAAAGCACTTTTCTCATTAGTTTGTATTTTTTTCAAATCTTCGATTCTTCATCTTTTTCCTTACCGCCAACACTTCTACTGCATCTACTACTATGGGATTTGAACTGACAATTCAATCCCTCTGTGCTAATGTGGTGGCAACTCTAACTGATGCACGCACGAACCAAGTTCTATGTTGTAGCTAATTAACTGATTTGTAAATGAATTTATATGAATCGATATTCTCCTTTTATGCTAACCAACAACAATAACTTTTGCTCTTAGGCTCCTCTTACCATCAATGAGCAAGACTAAACAGATGTAATGATAGGAACGTATTAGTAAATAATGCCAGAACTAATTAATTCTTGTAGGAAGGTCAACGGACGAACGTCTGCAACAAATGGATACACAATGACGTCCATCAGTATAAATTGCATTGTCACTGAGAAGTGCCAACAATTGCGGCGAAGAAATAGTAATTGAGTAAAAATAGACGTCACAGTTTATTACAATAGGTACTAGATCACAAAATTTGGGTTTATTGAGCACACTGGAAATGATCGATATTCAGTGAATAAATGTACATAACATTTGCACCATAAATAGCCAGAAAACAGAAAGGAGATAGCTTTGAACTGTAAGTAGGTGGCCAGTCTAACTAACTTGCTTTGCTTAGTGCAAGTCTGCTACCCATTCAAATAATAAGTTCATCTGTCTTAAATGAATATGTTAAGATCTTTTAGGTAAACAGATGTTATTCAGAAATAATTTACGACTGACGTACAATATTTGAATTAAGGTTTCCTGGACAGACATTTTTCAAGAAGAGATTAACTGAACCACTGATGGTTTGTGCACTAAAATTTATCTTCCAATCAATTTCCAATTTATCCGTTATATGAACGCTTGGATCAGAATAGGAAGAACGATCTCCAGTTTTTGCCATTCTAGAAACTGAAGTGGAAAAAAGTATTACCAGAGTATAAACCTGTGATTTTACCAAAATAAAAAAGATAAAACCAAGTATGTTAAAATAATCAGCCACATTCTACTGGCCAGTTACTTTGTTGGAGAATGGAAGCGTGG